TTTTTACTTACTATTAAAAGGGTAAAATATATACCTTTAATTATATCTAAATAATTCAACCTTTAATTGCAACTCTTAAACATACTCGACTGTATGAGCTCGTGTTCTCTCAAGCTGCTCTGGTATCTACTCGTCATCCTAGCTGGTTTTTGTTTTTTCAACGGAGAAATCGCGCGGCGTGTGTTTAGTTGTCCTGATGTAGCTAACCTAAACTTTCTGTGGTACATACTAGCAAGAAATAAACGAACACAGCAGGTCTTTTGGAAGAAAAACCCTCAAAATTTCACAATGAGTGACGATGCGGACTCCCCTCCTGAGAGGGAAATGAAGGTATGTCTCTGGTAAAGTTGACTTCACAGGTTAGCATGTGTAAGTTACCGTGTCAGTTCACCCTTAATGTAGTGGCTAGTTTAGCTAGCTGGCTAGCTAAACAAGCCACTTGTCGTGGGTTATGTTTTCTGGTTTAGGTATCCTTATCCTCACGATATTTACTGAACTGTAATGACTACTTTGATACGATAAAACATTAAAGACTTTCACAGCGGTTTAAAAGCGTTTCAATTAAAAGTAGTTACTGCAGTTTTATTCATGCCTTATTTTAGCCCGCTACTTAGGGTTAGCACCGTAGCCGGTGTGATGTTGTGCTTGTAAAGTTAAACGCCGCTGTGTTTGGTGGATTCGTCCTATTAAATTATGCATTTGTAAAATAACGTGTTCTAACACACATTGCATTTTTTTTGTTTAAGTTTTATATATTGCTGTAACATTACAACAAGCCTTGCACCGATTGCTAACACGATACGTGTTAGCATAGTTCTAATTGAGAGGCATTACAAACATTTGGCTTTGAGATCACCCTTCAGGCTCACCAGCTATCTTGTCAACAATGTTTATTTAAAGTGTGTATTATTCTGTCTCGAAGACGCTGCGTTTGCATTTACCGAAGTGGACCCACAGTTAACAGTTCATAACAGGTCACCATGAAATGAAAGTGTTTGCCTTTTGTTTTAGGATTTTCAGTTTCGTCAGATGAAGAAAGTCAGAGTGTTTGACCCCACCTTAGATTTGCCAAAAGACAGATCCAGCCTCCTTGCCATCTCAAATAAATATGGCTTAACTTTTGTGGGGCTTGACAGAACTCTCAAGGTGTACTTAACTCGAGATATTCTGGCTGCTGATAAAGGTGATGGCAACTCCAACGAAATAGGTATGAATACACATGCAGTTTTAAATAGTGCAATAATGACAGGTTAAAAACACAATGTAGTCATGACGGATACTTCACATGTTTCATGTCATTAATAATTTTTGCTGTTTCACTGTCCACTAACATCTTCCTCCCTATTTTAGTCAAAGGAATACCAGCACTGACTGAAGTGACCGTGGAACTAATTTTGCACCACGTGGCTCTCAGTTGTGATGAGCTCACACTGTCCATGTGTGGCATGTCTGAGGAAGCTGGCTTGTCGCTCACATTCTATGATGTCCGCACGTTCATGAACAAGGTAGTTATTTCAGTCTGTCTACCTAATGTGTTAACACAGTCGAACACCTGTTGCCAAATTTCACCTTGTCTGGTAAATGTAATCATGTTGTCTGATATTTGTTTTAATTTGCATTCCTTGCTTTTCCAGGGAAAACTACAGAAGCTACCATTTGCATCGCACCAGCCAGCTGTAGCACCTGACGTCTTAGTGCAGGACCTGAAGTGGAATCCTGCGCAGGTGTCTGTGTTGGCTGTCTGCCTCTCTGATGGCACTATAATGATTTTGGATGTTACTGACAGTGTCAATGTGCAGGCCAGGCTGCCTTCTTCAAGTGGAATTACCTGCAGTGAGTGACACTCTTGACATAATTGCTAAATTTATCTGCAGTCCATATCGCTGATGTGGTTCAGTAGTTGTTTACTTGCTTTGTTTACCACAGTTTGCTGGAGTCCAAAGGGAAAGCAAGTTGCAGCTGGAAAAATGGATGGTACAGTCACACAATATACACCAGTAAGTTATAATAAGAAGAATTTTGAATTAAAAGCAAATTGCTTAACAGTCTTTGGAAGCTACAGGAACAGATTTTTCTCCTCTGTTCTAAAGGGACTGGAGGAAAAGAAAGTTATCCCATGTCCACAGTTCTTCACCCCTGGCGAAACTGTAAAAGGTAAGGTAGCCATACCTATGTATAGGGCTGCACGATTTTGCATAAAATGAGAATCACGATTTTTTTGGCTTAGAATTGAGATCACGGTTCTCTTTTCCAGTATAAATATTTATTGCGCTTATTAACTGCACATCAACTTTGTAACAGTTGAGACTGAACATAAAAACAATAAATAAACATAAAAACAACAAATGTCTCAC